GAGTCATATATATATATATATATATATATATTAATTCATTAATAAATAAATATAAATTTCCTTTTTTGTAATACATACGTATGATTATATTGTAATAATGAAATATTTTGAAGAAAAGCTTCATGACTGGCCAGCAAAAATAGATTTAACACATATAAATAAATTAACGATTTTTTCTAGTTGGATTTCAATAATTGAAATAAGATCAATTATGTTGATGATAAACATCTGTGTAACATCAACGTCACATCAACACGATTAATTAATTTATTGTGTATATGAAAAATATATAAGCACGAATTTCGAGGGAATCAAACGTCCCGAAACCGAAGCGTACGAACAGAGTTCCGAGCTAGGGAACACAAATCTCACCGGCAAGTAGTAGATCGGATTTATAACAGAACTGGCCAACATTGGGTGTCAACTAACGAAATCATTGGATGGGAAAACATAATCAAGCGGACTTGCATCTCTGTCAAGCAGTTGAATATCCATGAAAAAGATATAATTGATCGGTGCAGTCGACTGAACCAAGCACTAGGCGAATGACCGACCCAAGCACTAAGTGAGTGACCAACACAATCGGTCAACCTTAAGATTTGCTACTTTGTAATCTTTAGTTTAACAGATATGTCGTCGATTCAACATTCACACATTTATAGTAACTAACATTTTCTTAATATGTAATTGTATTCTGAGACCCCTATAAATATGAGGTCATGACATCAATAAATGTACTTTTGGATTCTTTCACTTTGAGATCCTCAAATTCTCTGTTTTTTCCACTTTTCTCCTCTCAGCTCTAACTCTCTGCGCGTCTTTCAAGAACACAATTTAGGATTCAACATGTTGAAAGTCTATAACATAAGAACAGATTTATAAACTCACAAATCAATAAAATTATCAAACTCATCCAACAAATCAATTTTAAGCTTTCCTTATTTTATTTTTCATTTCTATCTCAGAAGCTTTTGTTTCTTCTTTAATATATATATAAAGTCTTACTTTATGTCAACTGGTATTCAAAATGAAGTGCATGTTTTTTATATTTTATTATAATTATGAATAAAATTTCTTAGTATATTATAAAAAAAATGTTGACTTTAATCAATGAAACTTTTATGAAATGACATGCTGAATTAGATGTTTGTTATTCATAATTTGACTTTACTTGGTTACTAATATATAAAACACTGTGCCAAATAATCAAATTAAATGGGTTTATCTCAAATATCTCTAAATTACAATAATAAATAACCTTAGGTAATCTTCTCTAAAAACCTTTTAAGAGGTTAATTAATTTCTTAATAAATGCTTTAAAATAATTTTAAAAATTATAAAATAGCTTTATTTTATATACTACTAGATTTTCTTAGGTCATTTTTTCACTGCACTCACAAATAAACATAATACATCAACTGAAAAATTCTTTAAAAGCTTTGTAATAAAACATCACTTACAAGGGTTTATCTTAAAAAATTCATTAAAAATTAACTTCATCTTTTTTTCTCAAATAATAATTGAAAACTAGTTTTGCACTTTTAATTATATTCTCATTTGGAAGGAAAAAATTTCTCTTCGGACTCCGGATGTAGCTCTCGTGCAGAATCAATAATTTGTCACATGTGTTATATCGCGGAGATTATTTCATGGTTATTTTGGGGTTGTTGAAGTTAAACCGTGAAGGTTATTTCAGGGTTATGGAAAAAAAACTCATATATTTCACTTTAATAATCTCCAAATAACACCACATGTGTTATTTCAGCAATAACCATAAAATAACACCGTGGAGGTTATTTCGAGGTTATTGAAGAAAAATGCATATATTTCATTTTAATAACCTCTGTGGTGCTATTTCAGGATTATTGAAGTGTAATATATGAGTTTTTCTTTAATCACCCCAAAATAACCCCGAAATAACATTCATGTTTCCACTTCAATAACCCTGAAATAACCTCCATGATGTAACACATGTGGCAGCATATTATTGGAGTCCGCAGGTCGAGTTAGTCTGGAGCACAGATAGAAAGTTCCCTACATTAAACCAAGGCATACTTCTTGTTAACCGAGCTCTTAATATATTACTTGAGCACCTATCTAAGTCATTGTTATGTTGATTTTGCTATATTGTTTTATTTTCTTTATGTTGTGTATTGTAAAAAAAAACTGAAAAAGAAACATATGTGCATTATTTTATTCTTATTTGTCGTCGCCGCCCCATGTTGAGAAACTTTTGAAAAATCTCCATTCTATGATAGTAAAGTACCCATCGGGTGGGAAAAATGTGAACTTATTTGAAGAATTCTTTTAAGATTAGGAGTTCATGATTTCCATTAGGTATAATTTTACGGCAAATGAAAAGTTTTTTATAAAAAAAAAAAAAAAAAACCTCTATTTGAGGAAAGCGCAAATACTCGTCAGGCGGAAAAATCGTGAACTACTTAAGAGAATTATTTTTAAAATTGGGGCTTTTTCTATAGGTATATCGAAATCTTTCTGAGATGGCAAGTGAAATATTTTATTTTGCTCCCCGATCAGAGTGTCTCACTATATTAACCAGCGATTCTTTTAAGATAGTTGGGAAGGTAATCATTCTCCCGTGTGCACCTTAGTGTTTGTTGGCGTCATAAGGCTACTGAAATGATGATGTTAATTTGTAATCTTAGAGGCCAGTCACATCTTTTGAGATCACGGGTTAAAACTCTAATTTTGTCGGTTGAGCCTTTTAAGAACCGCGAGTTGAAAACTTTGATTTTTCTCCCTGACTGCAGCGTCTTACGACACTGACCAATGATTTTTTTGAGATAGCTGGGAAAATTATCACTCTCTCTCGTGCCCCCTAATGAGAGTTGGCGCCATGAGGCTGTTGAAATTTCAAATGATCACTTGTAATTAATTTATAATTTTAAAGCATTTGAGCTTATAAAATAACATAAAATTTGACTTATTTGAATTTTAAAATAATTGAGAAACTCAAACTTTTAAAATTTAAACCCTTAGGATTTTCAAATATCGAAGACCGGGGCTTTTAAATATTTAGGCTCTTATTTTTTTTAAAAAAAATTTAAAGTTCTGAGTTTAAAATATTAATGTTTGGATATTTCAAATTTAAAGCACAAGAAATTTGAAAATATTTTAAAAATTGCTTTCTTCAGACTCAAGCTCCTAGAGTTTGAAAATCAATTCAAAATTGAGTTTTTCGGACTTAGGCTCCTAAGGGTGAAAAATAATTCAAATATAAAGTCTTTTGAAATTTTAAAATCCCACCACTAGATTCGCAATACGCTTGCTAGCGAACAAACTATGATCTCTTTTAAAGCCTAAAATTAAAATACTTCTGAAAATATCTTAAGCTCTAAATAATTTTAAAATTTATAAGCTTCATGTTATTCTCAAGTCAAATGCAATGATTTGGTATCTATAACAAAATTTTGAGAGTTAGTTTGTACTCTCCTAAATTTTGTATCACTTAAGAGATTCATATAAACAAGAGTCATATGCATGATTTCGAAATCTCTTAGACTTAAATTGTAAATCATAATTGTAGTTTAAAGGTTGCATAAGCCTTCAAATTCTCCAAACTCTTTAAGTTACTCAAATATATGAGAATTAAAAGCTCGTATGTGCTCCAATCAATGCATTGAAAGCTCAAATATTATGTTTGAGATTGTTGCGCGGGCTAATCAGACTATCTTTGTCTATATGACAGAGTTTTGAGTCTCACTTAACTAGTCTGATCCTCCTTTTAAGAATGAGAGTCAACTTGACTGATATCCTAAAAGTCTAAACTGACAAAATTAAACCCCATTTCAGATATAAATACTTTAAAATGTTCAAATTCTCCGATGATGGCAGTGTTGGTTGAAGATTTCAACCAAAATGGTTAATTTTTAAATCAAGCTTTTCAAAATAACCAACAAATATGCAAATAAAATTCAATCACTTAAAAGCTATAAAAGCAAAATTCATCTGTCCTCCACAACAGTTTGTCAAGGGTTAAGAATTTATAATTGATTTCAGCTCACAAAGAGTGAATGTAATGTCAAATGTACAATATATTCACAATCAAAGTAATTGTATACCAATAAAGACGTTGCATAAGTCTTTTGTTTGTGTGGTGTTGTCATCATAAGACATCACAAAATAACATTTATGACCAAAGTCCTCTAACTAGGTGGTTACCACCAAATGACACCATTATATTACGGTCGCGATCGCAACTCATATGTTCCTCAAGTGTTTCTACCCTTTGAATTGTGAATCATAAAAGTACTATCAATTGGCATAAAACCTTCTGTTAGTTAAGATCAACTTATTTGTCTCCTTAGACAAATATTCACTCCATATCTATAAGGATCTCTTGGACGATACACCTCATGGCTGCTGACAAGAATACTTCTGCAGGTTAAGTTGACTACCTCTTCTGACTAAGTAGATTAGGAATCATGACGATCCAGGATGACAGGATCGTGAGATCTTGATCGTGTTTCATTTTCATTCCCCCTCCATTCATTTTAAGCTTCAAGTTGTGAATTCAATGATTTAACCCTAAATTTGTTGTTATTATATGTTGAATATTTAATTCATAATGATTAGACTTAATCGAAAGTGTTTATTATCGGGAGAGGTGATTAACCATAGGGGTCTGCACCTATAAAAAATCACGAATCCCAGATCAAAAGTCCTCGTAAAATAAGGGTGAAATATTTGGGAAGTGCTTATTGACAATCCAATCTAACTTCTAAAAATTTGACCCTCTTAAGCTCACTCTAAACAAAAATAAAAATGCAGAGAATTAACGTGGAGCAGTCGTTAATGTTTGGAGCCCATACCTCAGTAATAGAACGCTAGAAACTTGACAAAGAAATGCACCCACAACTGATTATCAGGGCTGCAAGCTTCAAAACGGATTCCATCCAAACTTCTGTCCAGCAACCAAAATGCTTATATTTGATTTGGAGGCTGAGAGCTGTAGTGTATATTTACCCTTTGAAACTGTTAAAGCCAGACATGGTATCTTGGATTTCTTATAAATATTGCATTATGCTAGTTTATTTCATCAATTTTTAATAGTCTCATCCGTTTTTTGGACAAAAAACCAAATGAAACATAAGTAGTTGAGAAATGGCAGCTGGATGTATACTTCTTTTCCAATTTCTGACGGCAAGCACATCAAAGAATAAAGTAAATGTTGACAAAATAAATCATGGTTATATATCGTTATTTTTAGTAATGTTACATTCATAGTTGGGTAGCTCTAATTGAATGGTAAGCCAGTATTAATTACCTGATTGCTTTTTAATGCACATATATTAGTCCAGAGGTCTAAGTATGTTATATTTCTTCAGTCTTTAGGTATCTGGTTTTCAGGCTGTGAGAGAAAATGTTTGGCATTCTGCGCAACCTCTGCTTCCACAATTGCTTCATGCAGAATATCTGATCCTTTCACATCAGCTGTAATCATATTAACCATGACAGATTTCAAAATAAGGCCAAAGTTTGCATGAAAGCATGAGTAGCTAAACGTAAAGGGAGAATGATCAGCCACATATAAGCGCAAGTTGCTTGAAGATCAAAGGTAAAGTCAAGTGCTATACCGATTAAAAACAACAACAACAACAACTTAATCCCACTACGAAAGCCTTAATCCCACTACGTGGGGACGGCTACATGAATCTTTTTTCTCCATTGCGTCCTATTTAGATTTTCATTTAATTCTAACAAATTAAGATGTTGTTTTTATACAAAAAGCCCAAGTCTTCCTAGGTCTACCTCTGTCTTTCTTAACATAAGTCGAACTTAAAACATCAACTCTCCTAATCGGATCATCAAATGGTCGACGTTTAATGTGACCAAACCATCTAAGATGGCTTTCTCTAATTTTGTCAATCACAGGAGCTACGCCAACCCTATCACAGTTATATTCATTTTGCATTGTCTCTAAGTGTAAAGCCTCATCCACCTAATCATTCTCATCTCGACAACACTTAACTTAGTATTATGCTTCTCTGCTTCTCTTTTAAATCTCTTTTAAAGGCCGACATTCAACGCCATAGAGCATTGCAGGTCTCACCACCATCTTATAAAATTTTACTTTCAGTCTAAGCGGTATTTTTATATCACACAAAAGGCGCAAAGTATTCCTCCACTTCAACCAACAAATTTGAATTCTACTATCAGCATCCCCATCTATATCACCATCGGTTTGAACAACAGACCCGAGATATCTAAAACATTTACACCTTTTAATAATTGGATCACCCAAAGTACACTTCTTTCAGTAGAGCTACTCCTACTAAAATTACCTATTAAACAACAAAATTAATAAAATTCCACGGTCAATCGGTGTTTAACATGCCAACTAAAAACTAAATGAAAAAAAAAAAAAACTTGAGAAATGAAATCAGGTAAGACCACCTCTACTTTTAGACATAAATAGGTTACCATTGGGTGATATGTTTCCTATTAAATGGGAGTAACTAAGGTAATTCATTGAAGCAAAGTTCAATATATGAAATGCTGGTTTTCTTTTAATGAGATATATAAGTAAAGATCATTTGGTTACAGAACTCTTTCAAGGTAAGGTTATACTAGGTTTTAGCAAATAATATTAGATTTCCATCTGAATTCCCAAGCACAAGAGATTAGAATTTTGTGTTACAAAAATAAGTAATAAAGCTAATCAAATTTATGACATCTTAGAGAAGTGGCAAGCTGTAAGTAAGAAAATGGTTAATGAATTGAAAAACCAATAAAAGCTAACACTGAAGGAAATGCTGATAGTACTAGGTTCATCAAGTCCATGCAAATAAGTTATCTATGACTTGAAAATAAGCATATTCATAAAAGACTTGGGCATTCAACAACCAACTTCATAAATATGAGCAGAAATTATGATAATAAGTATTATTCGATGATATAAATGTAATCATAACATCATATATTCCCCTTAAAAGGATCAAAACAGAGAACAATAGAACAGTAGAGAAATCATACATAGGGCTGTCAAAACGGCTCGTTGTTCGCGAACAGCTCGTGTTCAGCTTGTGTTCGTCTCATTCGCTAAGTTAACGAGCCGAACACGAATAACACAAACAAATATTTGTTTGTTCGTGTTCGACTTGTTTTGACTCGAAATACTACTAATCAATTTGATGAGTAGTGTATTTTTAAAAAAATTAAATTGACTACAGAGATACAAAGATTTATAATCAATTAAAAGTATTAATGAAGAAAATAGAATAAAAATTATTAAATTAGTTTCAAATGATGTTTTAAATCTTGTCTCAATGCTTAACATCTTATGGCTGCGTGATTAGGATTGTCAAAACGACTCTTTGTTGGTGAACGGCTCGTGTTCGGCTCGCTAAGCAAACGAGTCGAAAACGAACACACTTTTTGAGTTCGAAATATCAACGGGCCGAACACGAGTTGGGCTTGGGGGCTTGCTCGTGTTCGGCTCGTTTACACCCCTAATCATACATGCATCAGTTTAAACATGTACATGGACTATAAAATTACATCTAGTAAATTTTCTTAAATTTTCTCTAAAATTTAGCTTTAGTCAATTTTGGAAAGAAAACATGTTCTTAGGGAAATGAAACATAGCTGCAAAGTGTTTTAATTACATTTATTTCTAAACAAAAAAAAACGAGCAAATCAGGTAACAAGTAATACACCATGGGCCTCGTATTATAGAATTTTTTAGCATTTCAGCTATTAATTTAGATTTATATAAGGGAGGTAGCACTAGAAAAAATTTAATGCTTTGAGGCTTTCAGTAAAATTGCATTTTGATTGTATGATCAAAATTCATAACAAAGCCTCATCGCCTTAAAAGGACATAAGACAATAACCAAACAAAGCTCATGCTTGTTTAAGCAGTTTGTGATGGCTTAAATATTGCAGGACTAATAATAACTTAAAAGGTATTTAGCACTTATTGCATAAAAAAGAAACCTTGTGTGCAGGGAAAACAAACCAAACCTTTTAAGGTAAAAAATTGTATGTTTATTTATACATGCTATTTTAATTATATGTTCTTAGATGTATTCAATTCTTTCTTTTAAGATGGGATTCTCATAGTTATATGCATCATTAACTGATATAGGCGAGTCAAGAAAGTGAAATGAAAGAATAAGTATTTCAAAGATCTTTTAAGCGGGCGAGTAATTATTTTCTTTTATGTATTAAATTAAGATATTATTTAATAATACACTAAATTATCTTTTCATAAAATGCTTTTATGGTCAGAGGTAAATTGTGAACCAAGGAATTTATAAATGAATGGTGTGAAAATGAAAAAATGGGATGGTGATTTCAATGACCTTAAATGAAATTAAAAGAAGTGAAATATAAAGGTTTAAGTCATACAAGATTGTCCCAAGATGATACTGGCAGGGGATGCGATGTATCTATACATGATAAAAAAAATGGTAAAGGTGTACTTTCGGGTGCAAAATTTTTAGTGTACCTATGGGTACAATTTACGGATGCTTTCGAATACGATGGTAATCCTAATATGACTCTTAAATAGGTTAAAAAGGATAAATGCTTAAATTAAAACGGAAGAGGATAAATTTATACATAGCATAGCATTTGCATATGAATTTAATGCATATAAATATTATCATTACTCGCTAAGTTATAAACTTATTGTGAAATTTAATGATTTCTTTCAGGAAAAAAAAATTGTAGATTGATATATCTAGCAAGAGAGACTTAGTTACAAGAGTACTACAGCTGAAAGATGTCACGACCCGACCTGATGCTTAAAATTAACTAAGGCGGGTACTGCGGTTGGACGATATTAACATCTAACTAATTATCCACATTTTGAAAACTTCCAATACATATAAATGAGTAACTAATAATCCACAGGTACAATAATGAAATTTAAATCATCCAACAGTAAAAGAAAATCTGCAAGTAAAATCTCAGTTCACACAACAATATATGTTTATCCAAAAGAAGCAGTACAAAAAGAAATTATAAACATATCATAATAGTACTTATCAGTTGCAGTTCTCTTATAAATCAAGTGTCTCCTATCAGACATATCAACCTAAGAAATTTTTCTCCTGAAAGAAAACACAAATTGCAACCGTATTACTAAAATTTATTCATAAAAATTGTTGATATAACCATTAATTAAACCAAATTTATACAATTAACGCATATAACTTATAAATATTTACTTTATCTTTCTTTGAATGTCTTGATTCACCCATTTTTCAAATCCCGAGAATTTATCAAGTCTTTGATTCCTGATTCAAGCAAACTTTATCTTAACATCGCTTAAATAATATATATAATATAACAGCTTATTTAAAATCTCATATGCCTTATAAAGGTTTCAGCCTACCCTAACTCGCGAGCTCAGTAGCAAGGATTTTTTCCTTTTTCTTGTCCTTCAGTCTCTGTGCGATCCAGAAACACACGTAAGGATCACCGACTCTCCTTCCCCTCTCAACAGAGTCAAAGATCTCCTTCTACCTCCTTTTCTTCGGCTTCTCCTTCACCAGCATAAGAAGTCGTAGTTTCCTTTTCGATCGTGACTCGGTCCAAGTAAGTCTTCAATGTCGTTTGTTAGAAGTGGAACCCGGTCTGACCCCCCACTTCGGCTCCTGCCATCGCGCGCGAATCGCGATCTCCCGCGAACCGCCGCTCCCGCCGCTCCCGCCGCTCCCGCCGCTCCCGCCGCTCCCGCTACAGATCTCCGGCTCCCGCCTCCTCTATTTCACGAATCGTCGCGACTCTTCACGCTCCCGCACACGCAAACTGTTCCCGCCCTTTGTCGTTTCGTGAATGTTGCGCCTCCTGTTCGGGATTAAAGAGAGGCGCACGGCTCTCCTTTAGAAGAGAAGTCACGGTGTTCTTCTTCGGTTTCCTCGGGATAGAGGAAGGTTTCCTCGGAGCAGAAGAAAAAGAAGTGCAAGAGGTAGTTCCTTGAAACAGAAGGAAGAAGAAAGAAGAAGAAGAAGAGGCTTATTCTCCCTAGGCTTCTTCTTTGTGTTTCTCTTGTAAGTTTATCTTCTTCGGTATATCTCGGTGTAGAGTTTCTTCGGTGTATCTCGGTGTAGAGAGAGAATAACAGAGAGGGAAGAAGAGAGAGAGCAACAAAGAGTGAGAGATTCCTCTTGTAGCGAGGTGATCGACTGGTGTAAATTTCTCAAGTAGTAAAATCCTCTGCAACTCCGTAGACGTAGGCAATTTGTCGAACCACGTAAATCTGTGTGTTCTTTTCTGGTGTGATTTTCCTCGTTTTATTTTTTCGCTTCGTCGATCGTTCTCCTATTTGACTTTATTTTATATACCACAACAAGTGGTATAGATTTCACAACAACTGGTATCAGAGCGTGATTTTGGATCTGAGGAAGAATGATGGCTGCAGATGAAGTGAAGGTTTTAGGGATCGAGAAATTTGATGGCACAAATTTTGGTTATTAGAGAATGCATTTATGGGAAGAAATTTTATCTTCCGTTATTGGGGAAAAGACCTGAAAGAATGGATGAGGCTGAATAGAATTTGTTGGATCGACAAGTTCTGGGGGTTTTTCGATTGACCCTAACGAGGTCCGTTGCACACATCGTCGTCAAGGAGAGGACGACTGCAGATCTCATAGCAGTCTTATCAGGTATGTATGAAAAGTCATCGGTGAATAACAAGATGCACTTGATGAAGAAGTTATTCAACTTGAAAATGGCGGAAGGTGTTTCTGTTGCTCAACACCTAAATGATTTGAATACTATCACAAATCAATTGTCTGTGGAAATTGGTTTTGATTATGAGATATGTGCATTGATCTTCTTGGATTCATTGACAGATAGTTGGAAAGTCATGAGGATAGCAGTTAGCAGTTCTGCAGGTAAGTATAAACTGAAATATGATGATATTCATGATTTGATATTGGCTGAGGAAGTTCGCAGGAAAGATTCTAATGATGTCTCAGGTTCGAGTTCGACATTGAATTTTGATTTCAGAGGGAAATGGCATGACAGGAACTCAAGGATAGGGAGATCAAAATCAAAGTTTAGTAAACAGGCAACCTGTTGGAATTGTGGCAAGGCTGGCCACATAAGGAGGAACTGCAGGAATCCTAAGAAGATGGAGAGAATGATAGTTGCAAATGTGATATCTGAAGAATCACATGATGCACTATTGTTGGCAGTTCATAGTTATGTTGAAGACTTGATATTGGATTCAGGAGATTTGAATGTGGTAGGAAATCTACCAAAAGCCACAGTGCAGGGCAGTGATGGAAGTGAAGAGGAAAGTGGGTCCGGGGCACCCATTCCTATTGTTCCACAGACAGACGTTAAAGAACCACAGAGCTATGAAGAAAACTTGCAAGATGAAAGTTCGAGCAAGTGGGAGATGGCAGAACATGACAAACCTCCCACCAGGGAAGAAGACATTACATAACAAGTGGGTGTACCATGTGAAAACTGAGCGTGATGTCAGTAAGAGGTACAAGGCCAGACTTGTTGGAAAAGGCATTCAGCAGAGGCAGGATGTTGCCCATGCAGTGGGAGTTGTAAGAAGAGACAAAAGTGACCCAGGAAATAACTTGGAGGTGCAAAGCTATGTGGAGTCTGGTGATATATTGACTGATGGTGTTACTCTTGAGAACCTGAAGTTGTGTAAAGCTTCAGTTGGTCATCTGGAGTGAAGACAGAGCTTTGAGTTGCAGAGGTGGAGGATTCAAAGTGGAGGATTCAGTTGAAGAAAAGGGGGACACCGCCAGTGGAGATTTAGTTCGAGGAAGAAGATGTTGTAGTCTGTGTACCGGTCTCCAAGTGGGAGATTTGTTAAAAGTGGAGCCCGGTCTGACCCCCCTATTCCTCTCCTGCGATCGCGAATCGCGATCTCGCGCTCCTGCCTCCTCTATTTCGCGAATCGCCGCGACTCTTCACGCTCCCCCACACGCGAACTGTTCCCTCCCTTTATCGTTTCGTGAATGTCGCGCCTCCTGTTCACGGTTAAAGAGGGGCGCACGACTCTCCTTTAGAAGAGAAGTCACGGTGTTCTTCTTCGATTTCCTCGGGATAGATGAAGGTTTCCTCGGGGCAGAAAAAAAAGAAGTGCAATAGATAGTTCCTTGCGGCAGAAGAAAGAAGAAAGAAGAAGAAGAATATCGTTCTCCCTATACTTCTTCTTGGTGGATTGTGGCTGAAGAGAAATTGAGTTTATTTCTCTTGTAAGTTTATCTTCTTCGGTGTTTCTCGGTGTAGAGTTTCTTCGGTGTATCTTGGTGTAGAGAGAGAAAAACAAAGAGGGAAGAAGAGAGAGAGCAACGAAGAGTGAGAGATTCCTCTTGTAGTCGAGGTGATCGACTGGTGTAAATTCGTCAAGTAGTAAAATTTTCTGCAATTCCGTGGACGTAGGCAATTTGTCGAACCACGTAAATATGTGTGTTCTTTTCTGGTGTGATTTTTCTCGTTCTATTTTTTTGCTTCGTCGATTGTTCTCCTGTTTGACTTTATTTTATATACCACCACAAGTGGTATAGATTTCACAACAATATCGTCGCCTCCCTATCCTTCCTCTGCCTTCGGTCTCGATACAATACCGCAAATTCTTCTCCTTCTTCTTCTCCTTCGCACAGCCCGACATTGCATAGTGGTCGCACGGTTTTTTTCACGACTTCTTCCTTCTTCAGCAATCTCTCCCGCTATCTCTCGCTCGCTCTTTTGTCGAATTGGGTAACTGTGAAAGATCGTATGTTATGATTCCCAAAGGGTTGCGACTCTTCTGACCGCCCGAACCATTTTATTAATTTATTTTTTTATCATATTTTTTTTATTACAATCTGCCCTCCTTATAAAATTTCTTCATTGAAATTTGAACATATTAAATACAACAGCAAACATACCTCAATAAAAAAGTTGTGAATATCTTCCTTGTATCTCAGAGACCTCCCAAGAAGCATTTTTATCGGACTCGTGCTTCCATAAAATCTTCACAAATAAAATACCTCTATTTCACAGCTTCTTTACATCAGAATCCAAAATCCTTTTAGGCTCCACCGTTCGAGCTCTTGTCATAGATTTCCAATCCACCTTCATCTCCCAAATGTTTGAAGTCACTTCATCCCTAAAATTACATCTGTGCTGCCTAAATCTAAGGGAAGGAAGTCATCCACCGCCTTTAGGCTATGTAGTGTGAGAACCAACCCCCTCAACCTCCGTGACAAGAGCTCAAACTTCTCCCGGTATTCTGTGGCCGTCCACTCCTGAGTCAGAGAATAGAGTTGCTCGTGTGGGTCTCCTTCCCGAATGGCTCAAAAATGCTCCAACAAGCAATCCTTAAACTCCTCTCATGAGTGCATTGGATATCCTGCCTTCATCCACTGAAACCACGCTAAAGCCTTCCCTTCAAGCATAATCCCGCTTTCATGAGCTTCTCTTCCTCAGTTAACCCATTAAGTGTCGCTCCACCTGACAGACCCACCCATGTGCATTCTCCCCTTCGAAGATTAGCATCTTCAGTTTTCTAACATTGCATCTCCACCCCAACCTCCTCTTCCTCCTATATTTCTCCCCCATACATCTAGGGTGAAACTCCCTCCTTCGATCGCAAGCATACCCAACTCCTGTTTCCCTCCTTCCATCGTCCTCTTCCACGCCCCTTACACCATCCCTTCTCCAATTTTAGGCTCATCCCCCTCCATCAGAAGTCTCCACTCCCCCTTCTCTCAGAGTCCTAGAGGGATGCTCTTGTTGGTAGATGATTTATTCCTCATTGTCTTTTCGTTCGAACTCCTTCCCTTTTGACCTGGCCAAGGTTTCTCTGATCATCTCTTGGTTATTGCAACTGGAGCGATTGACAAAGTCTTGGATTGCATCTCCATGAGCTTTTTTATCAGCTCCTGCATTTCTCCTATGCTCTCAAATCCATCCTCCATCCGACTTTCAATGGAAAAAAACCTGACCTCCATGGTGGCGAACTACTCTTCCATTCCCAATTTGATCTGTCATACCTCTCCTAGCACATCCACTTTCTTTGTTGTCATCCAACCAAGATCTACGCTCTGATACCAACTTGATACGTTGTTGACTCAAAATTAGCAAGCAAAAACAGTGAAACGATGATAGATAGGTGGAAACATGTGAAATAAGGGCTGCTCTTACGAAAAACAAATGCAAATAAGCAAGATACAACAGTGATCTACTTTTTGAAAGGTATATCGGCTCTCCCACAACCCTAGATGTCTCTAGGAATACCACCAAAAGGAAAAAACACAACAGCCACCAAATACATGTATGAAAGAAAACAACCCCTAGGTTCTCCCCTTAATAGAATCCTCCCACAGCATTTGAAAACGTTCCTTTCCCACTTTCCCTCCAAACCTCCTCTAATTTCTCCTCCTTGAATAAATGATTATGGCTCAGTGGACCCCACCCCCTCATTTCCTTCTTTTGTGACCATTTTGGACTCCTCCGCTTCTTCATGCGGCAAAGGCCGGCCGTTTGCAATCGGCCGGTCCATCCTGGATCGGCCCCTGTATGAGCGTGACAGCTCTGAAACTACTTCATTTCTCCAATATTTGTAGAAAAATGGATCCTTATGATACTTATACTCCAACTTAAAGGACAGTTTTATTGCAGAGATTTTATAAAACTTAAAGTTAATAATTATAAAATAACATATCTCTAAATTGAGGATATTCTCCGGATTATTTATTTCCAGTTCAGTCTCTTATATTAGTTCATATATACGCATTATTATTATAGTGAATGATATTAAGCCATTTCCAATATACTCAAAATAAACAGTATGTTTAAATTTCCAACCAGACTGCTAGGCTTATAAAGCAAGCAAGCTGTTCCAAGAGATTTGAGAACAGAAAATTATGCAAGCTGAGTAGCCCTCGCATAACCTTCATGATCTTGGCCAGCAAATGGTACCCTACAAATTTTCCTCATTCTTTGCTACAATCTCCACCATCACAACACCACCCAGCATCCTCTAATTTTAGAAAAATCAATATCAAATCATTTATTGATAAACCAAAAAAAAATATAGCTCTTACCATTTCTTTTTGGCAGCAGCCCAGCAATTTCAGCAGACATTGGTAATACAGATAAAAGACCATCTTGACCATTTAAGTTCTCTTTATTCGGGCTTGTTTGAGAAGCATTGAACTTTACGATTGTTGTTTCAGCTAACCTCGCATATGTCGTAGCTTGACTATGGAGCCTAGATAAATTTGTATCCAGCGAATTCAGATCCTGCAGCGGAAAATTGACAACGCAGAATCAGTTTGAAAAGTGTACAAAATCCCTCAGGATTGTTATAATAAACTGTAAGCAAACAACCTTAGCATTGTTTAGCACTGATGACTTGTGCTCTGCATCAATTTTCTCAGCCAAAACCGTATCTGAATATATCATAGACAATACTTTTTATTCTGAAAATAAGCAAACGACTAATATGGAAAGTATCTATCATGAAAAATGAAAGGAATTTTTGTCAAAATAAAAAAAAATCAGACAAAAAAATCAGACAATACCATTGTTAGCCGGAGGCTCCACGTTTTCTAATATTCTTGTAAATGGAACAGGATTCATGACTGATATGCTTCGGATTTCATATCGTATTGCTTCCAATTGAGCCATTGTATCTTTAAGTTCTTTATGAACCTGAATTGTAAACAAAATAAGTGTTGAAATAGTAAATTAATCTACATTTGGTTTTATAATAAAAGTCATAAACTACCTCAGCACCCTCAGCCATTAGAATAATTATCCAGTAATGATTTTAGTAGTTAGGAGTAGATCATTATATAAGAAGATAGGTATCGAGGACCGCACCCATACTAACCTGTCCTGCCCTTTTGTGCAGGAAGTGCAACGGATTTTGCTCAAATGGGGATTCTCGCTCCCCAATTTCAGCAACTTCAGGGATCCTATCGACAAGCATAAAAATACCAAGAACAACTCCCAAGCTATTAATCGCCTATGCCTCTACAGTATATATCATTGTTGGAGAGCTCGGAATGCGAAACTTCATGGCCAGACCCTCAAGGTAGTTAGTTGTTACCTTCAAGGAACACGATATTAGTGATTTTGTGAAGCGCATTTGAAATGTCCTATTATGCTTGATTGACTCAATATTCTAAATCTAGTGAATTAACCAATCCTTCCTTGAGTGCAACCCAACCAAGTCTCTTCCTTCTAATGTACACTAACATGATGCTTGTAACAGCAAGCTTTGTTGTTTTCTTACGACATTTAAGTTTCTCCTCCACCACCTGATGAATCATCCAAACAGCTAGGAATTATTGTTGCCATCATTCAACTTATCCACAAGCAATTTTAGATAGAAGGAATTTTCGGTAGAAAACCTAGACACCTCAAAAGTAGTTTTTGTAATCTATCCCTGTTTGTTTTGTAATTAACCCCTGTATGTTTGGTTGAAGAAAACAAGTTGTAAGGAATCTTGTTACCCCATGACTTCAGATGACAAGTGTTGTAACCTCATGGAATGTGAATTACTATTCTATTCACCACCTCCATTTGGCCATCGATCTAAAATGGAAGGGAAGTGCTTCATTTCTATTTTATGTCAATTAGGCTCCATAATGAGCTCAAGAAAGTACTCCCTATCAAAAACAATGGAAATGAACAAATGGAGAGTAATTTCATTCGAGCTGAAATAGCAACTTTATCTCTTCTATGTTCTCTCACAATGGTCTCTTTGCTAATGTGTTTGATGGTGAAGAAGAGATAATTGAGCCTCCAATGAGTCACCGCTATTCCTTCAAAAAAGTCAATTAAGATGGACTCCTAGTGAGTGGCTAGACTAAAAAGGTGTGCAGAGGCCCATATTTTGTTTTGACATCTTCAAAATGTAGTAACAAAGGCAATCTCTCATGAATAGTTGCAATTCTAAAGTGTGTTTTTGGCCAATAAATGCAATGGTTCGGATTTCGTAAGAGTTTTCTTCATCTTGATGGGATCAAGCCATTCTCAAAGCATGTCTCCCATATTAAGGTCAGATCATCGCCATTTTTTTTGTACACAGCTAATCCCTGTGATAGAGGAATTAAACAACTTTATGTATGATCCCTTTACTTGCTGAGGCAGGCATGTAAGGCACCTCAATGTTTATGTTCATGAGAAGAGATGAGATGAGTTGGATGATATAGATGCCAAGAGGGGCTAAGATAAAGCAGGAGAAGATGGCAAGGTAGGGATGGAAACAGGAAGGAGGGAAGTGCGGAAGATGTGTGTGCTAGGAGTCAGGAGAGAGCAAAGGAATAGGAAGTCAAGGATTCATGTTACTAAGGAGCCTATTTTGTCCATTGCTCCTCAGGGTCATCAAGTTTTATATAATTTATGAGTTTGTTCACACTTATTTGCTTCCTCTTTCATCAAGCAATCAACATCTAAGGAGGGAGAAAAAGCCAACACGAGAAATACAAAAAACTATGATGTTGTGGAGATAGGGAAGCATAGATTGGCCAATGATTAATTCAGAAAGTGTAATTAAAAAAGGACCGAATAAATATATGGCAAAAGGTTTTTGATAGAAAATGAATGGTTACAGTACTAGTAATAGTGAACTACAGGATAAATTAAGAAAACCACAGAGATTTGTGAATATTGTACCTTTTTTCCAAGAAATATTATTTTGAAACCTTGTATATATCCAGAATAATATATCATAACACTAATTATATATTGCAAACTCTCGACCTAGCACCTAAATAGTCAACCTCAACTTTAGGGGCCATTTGGTTTGTTGCAAATAGAATATTAAGTTTAATGGGATTGAAGAGATCACCATCTAACCAAGCATATTTCAACATAACACACAAATCTTGATAGAATTCAAGAAGCAATATAGAAGATGCATTTTGCTCTATAAATAGACCTTATTCTAGCAAATTAGATGCTTGTTCTCTATAGCAAAATAGCTCTAAGGAATTCATTGTTCTGAGTAGGACCCCACCACAGTATTATTATCGCAATTGTGGTGTCGGTGTGCTAGAGAATAAGCATGAGCATCATCCAACAGCTCCCATAAAATGTACATCATGACCGTTTTTGTGATATAATCATTGGAGCTTTCAAATATACACTCCACCATTTGCAATGCACCCACTGTTACACTACAAGGCAACCATGTTTGCTTATGGTCATCATTCCATATAAAGCAAGATCACAAACTTGTTCGCATTGTAATTGTTATTTTATCTAAACTAACATCACAACTTTGCATGCACCATAATTGCCACCTCATCCAGACTTCTGAAGATCACTTGCGCTAAAAAAAAATTTCTTGTAGACCTATAATGCAAACTCGCTTGAGCCATAACCAACTTCTTCCAAACTGATGTTGCAATCTTACGTGCATCAAAGTCATCCCATGTGTCATGGTCATCATCTCATCCACAGATGTGTCACAACTTTGCCCACATTGCATACGTTTCTTTCAAAAACCTATGCTGCAAACCTGCTTAGACTATAGCTATTGTCACACCAAGACCAACACCTTAACACCTTTTGTGATATAATCATTGCTACATCCAAACCTATGTTGTACCCTAACTTATATCACAATCTTCAAACTCAAAGCCTATGCAGTAACCTTAATTGTCTTAAGAACATCTCTCTTTTAATACTTATATTGCAATCTCACTTGCTTTGCACCCAGATTTGCACCGCCATCATCTGCTTCAAAAACTGTCATAGCTTTTCTTGTGTGGCATCCACCTCTTTCTAAACATGCAACGCAATCTCACTGATATGACAACCATCTCCAATAAAGCTGTTGTAGCCTTCTCAATCAGAATTTCTCTGGCTATTTTTAGCCATGTTGTAGCCTTTTTGTTCCAAACATCAATAAAATTTACAATTATCATGAATGTGAACCTCCTTATTGACTCTGGCTTTGCCTTTTCAAACTACCTAAGAGGCTATACCTCCTTATATACAATCGCTGCTATAAGGCTCATTACATCTATTGCTATAGGGTCACTCGTCATTAAGATCAACATCGTCGTGGCCTTTAAGAAGGTTGTAGCCTCCTATCAATGCTAACTCGTTGACCATGAAGCTTTCCTCATTGCTCTCTACATAATCGACAATGTCATTTCATTCATTTAGCTCCAATGCATATTTCCTATCAAGTAAAACTGCTCGCACCACTCCAAGTAGCATCACCATATTGTGTTGTATATGAAATTTATAACGATAACACCAGTGAAGAACATATATTTACCTGGTTCAGTAAATTGTTTACGTTCATGGAGTTACAGATGATTTTACTACTTGAGGATTTTACACCAGTCGATCACCTCGACTTATAAGAGGAATCTCTCACTATCACTTTGTTGCTCTCTTTTTTTCTCTCTATTCTTCTCTCTCTACACCGAGATACACCAAAAAAAAAGAAGGAATACAAGAAGAAGAAAAATTGAATAAAAGAAAACCTTTTATTCTCTCTGGTATCCTTTTATCTTCTTCTCGTACACACAAGCCTTTCACAATGCAATGTAATTTGCCCGCTTCTTCTGCTTTCGAACCGCAAAAGGAAGTCTATTCTCTCCGCAAGTATGATGAAGAAGAATAAGATCAAAAGGTTTTTATTTCTCCTTTTAATCCTCTCCGCATGCAACCTTTGCCGCAAGCCACAAGCCACAAGCAAGAACTCCTATTTCCCTTCTTTTTTTTTTAAATTATTGGCGGGACCCTCCTTATGACAAAGGAAGAAGTGGGAGTAGTTATCTTTGAAGAGACGTGACTCTTCATAACAATTAAATGGTTAATTGTTATCTTAATTAACACTAAACCGGAATCCACATACATAACAAATCTCCCACTTGGAGACCGGCACACAGGCAACAACAACATCTTCTTTCTCAAACAGATATCCTCCACTGTGAATCCTCCACCTCAGCAACTCAAAGCCCATGTCTTCAAGCTAGAAGACCAACTGAAGCTGCGCACAACTTCAGTTTCTCTAGAGTAACACCCTTTGTCAACATATCAGCAGGGTTCTGGCTTCCACAAATTTTCTCAAGCATCAACTGTCCGTCATCCAGCAATGATCGTATGAAGTGATACCTGATCTGAATGTGCTTTGTCCTGGACTGAAATGTTGGATTCCTGGCAAGGAATATAGCGCTCTGACTGTCACTGTAGAGAATACTCATAAATACTCATATGATCCTTCTTGCCTAATTCTTTCAAGAAGCTCTGTAGCTATATCATCTACTTTGCAGCCTCTAACACTGCTATGTACTCAGCTTCTGTGGTAGACAACGAAACTGTTTTATGCAGATTAGAGCCCCATGATACTGCAGTGTCATCAATAGTGTAAATATAGCTTGTAGTACTTCTTCTAGTATCAATGTCTCCAGCTAGATCAGCATCAACATAACCCCGTACCTTTGAACTCTTTCCTGAGAAACACAAGCAAGTTTCTGCAGAGCCTCTTAGGTACCTCAAGATCCACTTCACTGCTTCCCAATGTTAACGACTCCCACTGCATGGGCAATATCAGGTCTGGTGCAAACCATAGCATACATAAGTGAACCAATAACTGAAGCATAAGGAACCTTACTCATGTAATCTCGTTCCTCCTCTGACTTGGGTGACTGATTCTTGCAGAGTTTCAAGTGACTTCCCAAGGGTGTGCCAACTGGTTTGGCTTTATCCATATAAAACCTGCTAAGTACCTTTTTTACATACTCAGCCTGAGAGAGTCTCAACATGCCTCTGACTCTATCTCTGACAATTCTCATACCAAGGATTTGTTTTGCATCTCTCAAATCCTTCATTGCAACAAATCCTTCATTGCAAAGCCTCAAATCCTTCATTGCAAAGCGCTCTGACATCTGCTCCTTCAGATTATTGATCTCCTCAATACTAGCACCTGCAATAAGCATATCATCCACATACAGCAGTAGAATGATATAAAAATTATCAAAATACCTGACATAGCAACAATGATCTGTCTGACATCTGTTGTACCCTGCACTGTGCATGAAATTATCAAATTTCTTGTACCACTGTCTAGGAGCTTGCTTCAGGCCATACAAGCTCTTCTTCAATCTGCAAACTAACTCTTCCTTTCCTTGTACCACGAACCCTTCAGGTTGGTGCATGTAGATGTCTTCTTCAAGATCCCCATGAAGAAAATTTGTCTTCACATCTAACTGCTCAAGGAAGAGATATTCAGAAGCCACTAGGTGGTTACAAGGATAGCAGAATACTTTTTAATTAACACACAATAATATATAGGATAGGTATATTTATACTATGTTGAATGTTCTAGCAACATCACATATCAAATTACGCAATTGCCCCTAGGTGGTTATAATGGAGGTGCACTCTACCCGCTCCCTGCCACATGGTGCGTTAGTGCAAACCTGAATCAGTTTCGGTTGTGAAAAACCATCTCCAATGTGTGAACTGTGAAAACTCAAAGCTCCTCAGCTGGACTAGGACAAGTGTGTGATTAAACTAAGAGAACCTTATAAAGGAAAATAAAAGTAATAAAAGAGAAACGTAAATAACATAAATATCAATTTTAAGTAAAAGAATTGGAGGAAACAAAAAAATATCCAACGCAAAGGCAAATGCTTTCAATTACTGCACACAATTAGTACATATTATTCTGACACCCTCATCTTACTAAGCAAAAAGTGCAACGGTGCATCACGCCGCACTATGAGCAATAGTGCATGTTATTGATACATATAGCTAGCCACATCACTTGCACCCATTTAATGTAGCACCATAGCTTAGACAAGCAACTTTGCTCACACTTATAAATAACACTGAAGTTTGCTTTTTGTTAGGTGACATTATTTATGATTTTCATCGATGCATGCCACGTGTAGAGCCAATGATGCTTCATTGAAAAATTATCCTTCTAAAACTAACTCCTAAGAACATAAAATCACTTTAAGAATAGCAGAAAACCTTAAGAAAACATCAAAATAGCATACTAATTAATTCATGGAAACTTCGAAACTTGAACACATGGCCACGGAGGGCAGGGCAATCACTGAAATTACCCATCACAAAAAGAAGTTTCAAGAAAACCAAAGTGGATGATCCCAACTATAATTTGGCAATAATAAGCCATAGCATTATCTTGCGATCCTATCTAACTAAGGAATGAAGGGAAGCCCCCATTGACGTCCGGGATGAAGTTGTAGTTGAAGAAGATTTTGGCCAAGCCATCCTTCAAAGATTTCTACATATAAGAAAAAAATTTCAAGAAACTTTTAATGGGATCCCATATATACATCTTTATGAAACCTTTACAATCTGCAATAGAACTTTGACCACTTCGGCTTGGTCATATCATGATCTCAGAAGAGCAAACTTAGTTTGATCAAGAGAAAGATTGTGTATGTGTTGCTCTCGAAAGATATAAATTAATCCTTCATGGAGTACATTCACCTCTTCCAAAATGAATTATAATTATCAATTAAGACTCTAACAAACAATCTGGATGAATTACAATTACCATGAAAGGTATTGACCAACAAAACCGGAACAGAAAAAATTTTTGGTGGTTTCACTTCTACTTTCAACATTAAAAATTAAAGTTATCAAGTAAGACTGATTGATAATATGGAAAATTGTCAAAATCATTAATGGATTCACATAACTCGAGTAAGATTTAGTGACAATCTCAAGAAGAATCGAATTCTTAGCTATGCAAGGCTCAAAATTTCAAAGAGAAATTACTATAAATTCTTCGCTCGCCTCACCCATAAGATTATAAAAGAACTATTTTCAAACAATGCTCTTTCGACTCCGCCCTTTTGGTGAAAAAGTTCAATTTGGTGGCCCAATTTTTCAATGAAGCTTCAAAAAGCCCTCCTTAAAAAAATTACTAAAATTCAAGCATTCATTCATCAAACAACAACAGCAAATCTTTTTTCCCCTTCAAACTAGTCTCGCTGTTAAAAAATCTGCCTAAATCGGCAAAAAAATTTCTTCTATTATTATAGAAGAAATAAACTGTTGAATTCCCAGCACAACAGTTTAGGCTAAAAATTTGAAAAACACTAACCGGTTCATCATTTGCTTGTTTCTGACAACGTTATCCACTAAAATTTGGTCAAGAAAATTTTGGCGGATTACGCCAGCAATTTTAAGTTCATCAAACCCGAAGGTCGGAGAACTCATTTTCTCCTCGTTCATCATGCACTCTTGCTCTCAATGGACGACACCTCTCAACACTAGCCTGCTCGATTCACCAAATTAGGAGTTCATTCAACTCATTTTTTTACATGAAATCGAAGGTAAAACAAACTCTCCATCTTGTACAAGTATTTATTTGTGATTTCATACTTTAAATCTTCCATTTTAAGAATTTGAAGATTTTGAGAAAATGTCAAAACTAAGTTCAAATTTGTCTATCTGAAAGATTGCACATAGTGACCACAATTACGTCATTGTAAGAATTATCTCTGGTGGGCAAATCTTCTCAAGTGAATACTAGGTGGCTGACATACAGGCTAATGGTGAGACAAATTCGTCAAATACACTTCTTCTCCCAACTTAAGCCCCTTGAGGCTCGATTGGCGAGAGACCTCGTTCATCTCTGCAAAGAATGGTTGGGACCAAGCCCGCTATGTGGATTGCATGAGCTCAATTTGGCTCATTGCAGGATTTTTTTTTAGAAGTGTCTTCCATGGTTTACGAGTTATCACCCTCCATGGACGAATTTTTTTAATTATCTAGCATTGATCAATTATCCACTCAGAATACGTAGGTGTCTCCATTCTTCAATATCATGATCATATACGTAATGCCTTCAGGAATCGTGTAGGTAACCTCTAATATTCATCGGCATCAGTTTGCAAAAGTATTTTTTATTTTAAATGACCTCAACAATCTTGGACATTAAGTCTCGCAGCATAGTCTGTGTAAGTAATTAGTAAATAGGTGGTGGTAACCTCCTTTCCATTCAGCAATCAACTTGCATTTTCTTAGGTTCAGCCTCAGCAATCTCTCTAAAAAAAACAATTTTCAAGCTGAAATGATCTGAGAGTTTTATTTCTCTTTCTTTTCATTAGTAATCCAAGGTTGTTGAACCAACGCTATCTAGATAATATGTATCATCCTTGCTTGCCATTGCAAGGGATGAGGCTCCTTGCACACCATTTACAAACACTCTTCCTTGTTGAGTTGTTGATTTTGAAGAGAGTATGCGCCTTCTTGGTGCTTGCTATAGTGTTATTCTTATCGTTGCCATTTTACTCTTCCATCTCATTGATGTTATGTGTTATGAATTCTCTGGTGCTACTAGTATTTCTCTATTATTTGGCCCTACTCCTTGTGTGACTCCTCTTCTTACTTGTGATATCATTCACTTTCACCGAGGAAAGAGTTGAGAAAAGAGATTTGTGAGCCAAAAGAATAAAAAATGAGAGAAATGCAATGATTCTCTAAATTCTCTTTCGGGCCAAAGATCCTTACAACAACCTCCTCTCCTCTTATTTACAGAAAACTCTCTCATATATTACTGAAAAAGTTCTCATTACAGATCGATCCCAAAAGATCTTTAATTTTTTTTTCTGTCTTTTTTTGGCATTGATATTATAATTAATATAATCTCTAGTCATGTCATGTCTTGACAATTGTTTTCAATAATGGCATACAGGTAACCCTCTTGTTGGCCAACTCAGCTTTAGGGGTAAACTGACATCGGCAAATTGAGCCTTCAAGCACGTTGATCTTCTTGAATGGACCAATTTTCTATGTTGTGGGGCAAATCGAATTTCCTTGGCTAGCGGCTTGGCTAGGTCTGACACTCATGCCCTGATCATTATAAACGAGCTATCGAGCATAGCTTGCTGATTGAGATAGTTGAAGTGGTTCAGCTGAACTGTCTGGTCGGCCGGATGAGTGGCCTGGCTTGTCCACCTGAACTTGGTTAAACAATATTCGGCTAAAAAGCAACACATGCCAATGATTGCAGAGTCATTTTTTATTTGCAATCATCATATCAAACTACCATATCAATTTGTAATCTAATACAACAAGGGTAAACTACAATCCATAGAAACAAAGCATGACAAAATTCAACGCAATAATAATATTATAAATTTCCAAATTCATCCGAACGTAAGAAGCATGACAAGCACCTGATTAACTTGGGACTGCTGCATTACGCTTTCAAATTGCCCACGAGCAATCTGAACATACCCGACAGCTCTTCCCGTCAGCCTGCCAGCTGCTTTAGCGATGAACGGGAGGTCTTTAGGCCCTTTAAAGATTCGAAGAATAAAAACTCAAACTTCAGCAGTTATGAAGGGGACTCGCGGGTTATAGAAAGAAAGGTGGTGAAAAGGGATCGCATTCAACTCAAATTTTTCGCATTCGGATATCAGTGGGTCTAAAGCGTTACCGATGAGAGCAGCGGTGGCGCCGATTATGACGAAGAGCTCTCCATATGAAATCCCTAGCATCGCGCGAATCCTTCGATTTGATTCCCGCGTGGCCGCAGCGACGATAGAGAACACGAGCTGATCAGTATGAGCTTCTTTTTTTATTATTATTTTGAAGTTGGGATAGAAAATTTTATAATAGTGCATCCAAGTAACTATACTAATAAAATCATCAATCATCAAACATAAAAATTCCGAATAAAATGATGAACTTTTGTTATTAATATTCTATTGAATACTCAATATAGTGAGCTAAAAACATACAAATTTATCATATCATTTTTAGCTTGTTTTATAAATAAACTTATTTTTGATAGTGTGCATCTAATTTTTCCTGACATGTGTTATCCACAGGATTGTTGAAGAAAAATTTAAGGTATGTTTGGGGCAATTGCAGTGTAAAAATTGTTGCAGATAAGCTGGTTGTTCATTTATTTTTTACAATTTTAAAACAACTATGTTGCTGTTGTTTCTGAACAAATGACTTTTCTTTACATGTATTATAATGTTATGTATAACAAAACTAATTCTGCTAGCACAATCCAAACTCAAAAGCAAATATCTAATTCAAACATTACGAAATTAAAATGAACACATCACTAAACGGTAAATAACACGACAACCAAAATTAAAAAAATAATTATTGAAATAATAATTAATAATATGATAATATTATTTAGAATGCACAGTATGTGTATGTCACGAGATAAGTCGTCCTCCGTGGAAGCTCTCCACGCCCAATCACTATAAGCGATAGAATCCTCCAACTCTTCCGCCCTCCGAAAGATATCACAGTTTTTTGTTATTCTCCTTAGACATCTGTAAAATTGTCTCACATAATTATGTGTCTACCGCGAAGCAAGCAATGAACATTGTAAAAAAAGGTTATTTATTGCCTTTAAATCACGTAATACCGAGTTCGTGTAAGTCACATATGCATATCACAAAAAAAATGTCATGTAGAATAATATCAAAAGTCATAACACTAAAAAAGAAGAGAAATTTGGTTGCTTTCATTGAGATTTAAGTTGTGAAAATAATCAATAGTGACATATAATCCATTCAAAAGAATCCTTATGTCGAATGTCTCATAATATACCTCCAAAACCATAAAAAAACATGCAATATTTATATTACATATTTTATTCACGGTTATCTCATCGACATCCAAGTGGAAAAGAATACATGCATAAGAAATACAAATTTGAGATTCAAAATATACATGACTTGCATAGAACATAGATGCAACAAACAATAAATGTTTTCACAAAACATATATGGTAGCAACAAAACACAAATAATCCCTCCATCAAGCCTCCAACTAGAGCATTTGTAATTCCCTTCCTCAACTTTATCATCTCCCTCACACATTCCCCATTTTAGGTGTAAGTCTCAACCAATTCACCTTCAGCCTGTGATGAAGTTTGTCCTAAGTGATATTCATATGTTTTCAACAAGGACATGTGAATGATCTTCGTCAGCCTTATTGAAATCAATGTCGTTTGGCGAAGGATGTCGCCGAATATAGTTGTTTAAAGTCATTATGACGACCACAATTTGCACTTGCTTAGAAAAAGAATATGTCGGCATATCTCATAATATGTCTAATTTCTTCTTCCAAACTTCAAAAGTCCTTTCAATGCCATCACGTAAGGAAGAGTGTCACTTGTGAAACATCTCTTTCCGACCCCGAGTGATATTGTTAACTCTCTTAAAATCAAAAATTTGATATTTGGTATCATGAAAGGGTTTGAGATATTCTTTATATAATGAATATCTAACGTCAACCAAATAATATTTTCATAATGTAAAAAATAATCATAAGTATTGCACAAAATATTAGTATTTCATTTGTTAATATTCAAGCTAACCCGGATACGGCTTTGGAAAGTTATACTTTGAGTTTGTGTCGCAAAATTGAAAATATAACTATTGTGTGCACTGTCTTCCCATACAGTCATAACAAATGTGAAACACATATTGAAATCATATACATTCAACACATTCTATGTCGTGATCTACGTTGGCAATGTATGCAATCTTTTACTATTGGGAACACGTGCATTCACATGTGTTCAATCAATCGCTCAAACACAATCGTAAAATAGTTATCAAATATATTAGAGATAATGTGTTCAGGTAAATTTAGAGAAGTACGAACACATGAAACTACCTTAAAATATGTCATATAATGTTAGTTCTGTGAAATTTGCACAAGTGTGCTTTGGAATGTGGGGACTTTAAGTATGTTAACTTTTGATGACAACTAATCAGAGCATTTAGCCCAACTCAAAAATATCTAATGATAGTTTCAGATAAGCGATGAAATCGTTCATTGACACCTCTTATTGACTCATTTTGTGATAAAATATAGAGGGTTATTGCTAACACCTTTTTTAAAGTCATTCTGGATGAGCCATGAAAAGACCTTGATTTATGTGTAATTCCTCAAATAGATCAGTGAAAATAGGTTGTGTCATTTGGAAAATGTTGTTAAACCTTGTGAAATGATCCAGAACAGCCCATAACAGATTTAACCCAAAAATTTTGATTTTTGCCGGAAACGTTTAGCGAAGGATTTTTTCAATCTAAAAGTTATGGGGGAGTGTGCATGAATAAAATGTAGTCTCATAACTTCAAAAATGAAAATTTTTATTATCCTCACATCCGGGATCTTGATGCCAACGAGTGTCCCGAATCACTGTGTGTATTGCGTTCTACACCTTGATCTTCGCGGAAATGCCTACGGGAAGCTTCGATGGGTTCCTTTGACCTTGGAAGACCCCATATGAATATGGCAGCGTCTATAAACATCAAAATGAATATCAAACATGTCTCGTGTCGTGAATGATGCCACTCAACAGTGGATTCTCCCGGGCAAAGCTGAATCATTGTAGACCTTATTTTTGTGCCCCAAACACACACAAGGGGTTTAAATGGATGTCTTAAGCTACAGGATGTAAAAAATAAACAGTAAGTGGTTTTGAGTGATTCAAATGGACATTTTATACATGTGACATAAAAAATTAACGCTAACACAAGCACTGACGTGCTGACCTCATCAAGTAGGGATAGGCTAACATCACTGACACAATGTCTTTAATTGAGGTAATACTTAAATCACCAATCATAAGAACATGTCAATGATCTCATAACCAAGATTTTCAAGGGATAATTGAGGTATATCCCTAAATATTCATACCTCAAAAATGATGCCAACAAGGGCACTAACCCTAAATAGTATGTTAAGTTTGCTTATCATATTTGATGCTTGGTTTGTTGAAGATTTGCGGTATTGTTATACATACAAACTTCTTGGGTTATTATATGCTTTCTATACTAACATCTAGTTTATAAGGGTTATAGTAAAAATTGGTGTTGTAGTAAATCAAAATTTTTATTTTTAACACTTGCAGATTTAATTAGAGTTAGATAAGTCTTGTAAATGTTCGTGGGTTTTAAGAAAATAACATAATGTAGATGAAGATGAAGATGAACTCAAAGAATCATGGTAAACTTGAAAGAACATGGATCAACAAATATAAGTTAGGATAAATAAATAAAAAAAAACTAGGTAGCTCTAGGTGATGTTTTTTTATGCCCAAAAGACCAAGGTGAAAGAGCTCAATGACCCCATAAGCTTGGTTAGCCCGTTATATAGATCTAGGTTGTATAAGGGCAAAGTCCACTACCCATTTTTTCTTTCTTTTTGGGTGTAATTTGGTCCCCAAAAAGCATAGGTTATCTTTTTGTTATGTGTTATTGTTTGTTTTTTATTCTCATTTAATGTGTACTTTATTGCATGTCAGATTGGTATGTTTCTCTTAGACTTCTATACTTGATTATGAATGACTTGGATTTTGAATCAATAAGCTCATAGGAAATAAATATTTTGCACTAATTAAACAACTTAAACAAAAAAAATGGTTTTAAGCAAAAAAATCCAACAAATAAACATAGAATAACTCACCATTTGTATTCATATTGTTTCACTTTTTTTTTATACACTTTAACCCACAACATATCTTGGGAACATCCAACATATGAGGTTGAGTATCACTTCTTAGAAAACTTTATACAAAAATGCTGGTCATTTGCATATAGAAAAAATTAATCATATGCATTCTGTATTATAATGACATAAACCTCAAAAGATGGGTAATAAATATATATATTATTTTATTAGCTAAAAGCATTGCACACAAGACATAATTAGGCAGTTTGATTCTTGCAATTAAGTTCTAATTCATATTTATTGCCTAAATAAATAATAACATTGTCTATTTTGTTTCATTAGACAAAACTTTATGATTTTAAAATTACGTGGGTTTAACTAACTATTTTTTCAAAGCTAGATTGCAAGTCCAATAGAGAAAAAAATTATTTTAATCTCGAGTGAGGTTGAATATTATATGTCCATTGCATATCATTAACTTTGGTTTCAATATCTCACTTTATCAGTGGTTCTTGGCTTAGTTTAGGACACAATATATATTATTCCTCTTTCATTATATCATAAAGCCTCCCCTTTGAGTCTTCTCCATGACATTAGTCATAAATTTCTAATAAAAGAAATCTTAAGATCTAAGATTAAAGTCAAAAATAAGTGTGCTACTTATTTTCACAGAATTTGGGCACTCTCTTTTTTTCTTTTGGCATCAAAATAGAGGTTTTTTTCACTTTTATCTAACCGAATTGATTTTCGATATAGTAATTTTGAATCTAAATATTAAAATCCATAGAGACACTAACTCATACTTTAATCAAGAGTATTTTTATGAAATCATCTCTCCAAGGATGTAATTGATTTAAACATGTCTTCATAAGAATTGGTGGTATGTTTGTAATTGCCCCTAATAAAAAGCACAAACTCATGAGAGTGTTAAACATTTCATAACTTTATTTCTCTTCCAATGAAATTAACTAATTTATCAGCATGTGTCGGCACTATTTTTGGTGTGGGGTTTGCCCGTAAGAAGCTGTCGGTCATCGGAATTGAAATCCCGTTGCCCGCTTCGGAATGACGTTAAAAAAATTTAGTTTTGAAAAAGATGAAGTCAAACTGACCCCATAATTTTCATAGTTTAAAT